CAAATCCAGTCTTCTCTCAGGTTTCCAAGGATCCACGGTGGAGCTTGGGACGGGAGAATTGGAGGAGGAAGGTCAGGGACTCCCTTGGAGACAGGGGACGGCATGGGTATGGCAGGGCTAACTTGGCAAGACTAAAAAAGAAGTCTTGGTTTGGAACGAGGAAGAGGGCACGAGAACGGGGAGGGCGAGCGGACACTGGAGGGAGAGCCGGCCGGGCGTGAGCACGTAAGAGTATTAGTTGTCATAGTTGACGGGATGGTGTTACGGTGCTTTGCTGTCCATCTGTCCCGTATCTTTGCGACGAGTGGCCTGGGCTTGGTGTGTTTCTGGGTGTCCCTTGCGTGTTGCATCTCGTGGGAACCCGGCGCTGTCTTTTTCTTGTCTACTGTGTATGCAGGCATACCAGGTAAGTAGGTATTAAGTTTTGTGCGATGTGGCCCTTTTCTCGTGCTTGTTTTTCTTCAGACGTGTCAATGTTGACATTCATGTGGCAAGGTATGGGGATGGGGGGGAAAAGAGGTCAACAAACGAGGCGCTGGTGTCAAGGTTCAAGGCAGAAAGAAAGGTTTGAATATCGCGACCTGATGCCCCGAGATGTGCATATATCCGTACCTTATGGATGTACTGCGTACTACGTAAGGCATTGATGGGTTAGGAGGATGTTCTCCTTCCGCGCAACTTGACAAGGGCTCAACTTGTGGATTTTGCAGCGGGCTGCAGGTGAAGAGGCCTGCGGTGAGGTAATCGCGGCCGACGCACCTCAGAGGCATGTCATCGGGTGGTACCTAAGGTAGGTATCCATACGTAGCGGGAGGTATCGTCGCCGCGCTAAGACGGATGAAATTGGTGGTAATTTGAGCTGGAGCTTGTACTCGTACCTGAGGTGGATGGAATCTTGATGGAAGCTGCGGAACCCAAGTCCCCTTATTATCCACTGCAAGGTAGCCACTAGCTGCTCGCAGTGCTCACCTACGCAGTACATATGTACATACACTACCTACGGAGACAGGCTACGACGGATACAGGGCAGAGTCACAGCGAAGCACCCCAGACATGCTGGGTGATCATCGCCCCCCGGTTTGCCTTCCACCCCTGGTCCACGTCAGGCAAAGCCGCAAATGTGCTTCCATTGCATTGCTGGGCTTGGCTTGGTACTTGGAGGAGCGTCGGATTGCATAATGATATCGTCCCGCCCACACACACACACACACACACACAACACACAATGACTACACTTGCCATTTCTGACCTCGACATTACCGCCATTCTTGGGCTCTCTCCGCTTTAGCGTCTGCGCTACTACAGTCCACCAAACATTTCCTACCTACTCACCTAGGTCGCGCACCTCACCCTTTTCTCTATCCTCCCTTTCTACTTCCCACGAAGCTCGCGATACACACCGATAGAACACTCAACCCGTCAGTCCTCTCGCCAGGACGCAGGCTTACAGCAGCGGGCGCATCCTGCAACATCCTGCTGCCGTTTGCTTTTTTGGAAACCATGACGTTTGGCGACATCATCGCCCGTCACCCAACATGGACCCCGAGCCTACTCTCCCTCTCGAGCGCTCCGTCTCGCAGCATAGCGCAACGTCCATGAGAAGCGGACGCTCACATACCGTACGAGCCAAACGATCAAAACTCAACTCCCAGCCCTCGAGCTCCGCGAGCTCCATTGCCGCCTCCGAAGACAAGTCGCTGACGAGCTTCCCTTCCTTCTCCCCCGACTCACCAAGGGGCGAACACGCCTTTCCTCCGCCGCCACTGACACCTGAACCCGAAGCCCCTCCCACCGTACGCAAGATCTCCGATACCAGGCCCGGCCCCATCTCCCTGCTCGGCAATCTGACTGGATCATCCGCCGAACAAGCGGCTCGCGATGCGCTGTTCGAGGACTCGCCCATTTCGACCCACAAGATACCAGGTGCCCTTCACCACTCCGACGATGAGCACATTGGGCGTCTCATTGCCAGGCATGGAGCCGTTGCGCTCGTCAGGCAGGTTGCGACCGACCTGGCACAGCGCGATGCCCAAATCGCCCAGCTGAGGAGGAAGGCCGACGAAAGGGAGAGGGCTTTGCGCAAGATTATACTGGAATGCGGCTTATCTAACCTAGACCTTGAGAAGAGATTAAGAACGATCGAAATAGAGGTCAAGACTGAACGCCCCGGCAATCGCCGCAACGAGAGCGGGCTATCTGACCTCATGAGCGATGCCATGCAGGACACCGTCAACGTAAACGTCTTTGGGCAGACTGATGGCAACGACGCCACGATCCGCGCTAGCAACCTAGCTATGCCCTCCGTTCCCGACGGAAGAGGAACCGCGAGGGGATGGAAGGATTATCTTTGGGGCGGAACCAGCAGGAAGGGCAGCATGCCCAGCAGCGTCAACGGCGACGACATCGCGAGACCTTCAACCGTTGTGAGGACGCAGTCTACTGCCGATAGGCGGCCCGGTCTTCAGGACGATCTCTTCAGCCCACCCAGCGAGGGTGTGCCGCCCGAAAGCGTGCCACCAAGAACACCCAGTCGAGCGTCTAGCATTCAGTCTGGACCCCCTGGTTCACGCAAAGCCTCAACTTCGGTCGCTGCTAGCCTCATGAGACTGGTGGCTGGAGGCGCAATCAACACGCGTGAGGGCGGCCCCAATCGCGGAAGGTCTAATAGTGCTACCCAACCACAGTCGCAGTCGACCCCGCGAGCGTCCTCAACCTCCAGCGCCAAGACCACACAGTCAAGCAGAGCGGTCTCGACGGCGGGCGGCCCCAAGGCTCTCATGGCCATGCGCAGAACCACGGGCATCGCGAACGCTCCTCCCGTCAATACCACCGCCAGGACTCAACCGCAAGAGAGATGGGACACCATGGTGAACAGTCCGACGAATGCGACCTCGAACCGCCAGGAGAGTTACGGTCCCGTCGAGATGGATGCCATCCTCCCACCCGAGACCCAGCCGCCAACCTTGACGCATATTTACAATAACTATATCGGAAGCGAGTATCTCACCGACCGCTTCGGCTTCATCTACGATCAACGGAGAAAGAAGAGGCAGCGCGAATCTGCGCAAATGGCACGTCACTTGAAGCAGGGCGGACGTGCCGAGATGCTGTCAAACGGCCGGTCGGACTTGACTTCCCCAATGATTGAAGAGGAAGAGGAGGTGCTTGCAAGCCCCGGCAGCGAAGAACGACCTGGCAGCCCGTCGTCCACGGAGGAACGCGCGGGTGAGGGGAAGCCCAAAAAGTGGCAAGATTACCTCAAGCTGGCCACATTCCCGACGGAGCTTTTGTCTCATACCCCCTCACTCGGTGCGCCATCTCTTGAGGTATTGGAGGGTGGAGAACTGGGTCTCAAGTCACCTGGACTCATTGCGGCTGACGAGCGAGGATTCGTCCCGATTGCGAGCACAACAACATCCGTCATCGACAGCGAGGCGACACCCCCAGTCGAGACTGATGCTGCTGCAGGAACGGTTGTCAGGGACGACACAGAGCCCGTGAAGCTCCTTCTCCAGCACATGGGAGAGTTGCACGATTCTCTGCAGAGAGACAAGGCGGCACGTTGGAACGAGTTCCTGCGCAAAGTCAGGGCGGAGAGGAAGCGAGATGGTGAGGCTGCGGCCGCAGCAGCAGCCGCGCTTGCCGAAGCCCGCTTCGAGCGACCTGCCATGACCATCCCCGAAGCTGCCATAGCCGATGGCGAGCTGATCGGAATCACTGGCCTCGGAAACAAAGGCAAGGTTGGGCGCGCCAAGAGGTCAGAGTTGAGGAACTTGGTTCTCGGTGGCATCCCAGTCAGCTTGCGCGCCAAAGTCTGGTCTGAGTGCTCCGGCGCCACTACGCTTCGTGTTCCCGGATACTATCAAGATATCATCGCTCGACCGGACGAAGATGATGACCCGCTAGCAGTGTCCCAGATCGATATGGACATCAACCGTACTCTGACCGACAACATCTTCTTCCGCAAGGGGCCGGGCGTGTCCAAGCTTAAGGAGGTGCTGAAAGCCTACGCCCGCCGAAACCCAGAGGTCGGCTACTGTCAGGGCATGAACCTCATCGCGGCGAATTTGCTGTTGATAATGCCATCGGCAGAGGACGCGTTTTGGATTCTGACCAGTATCATCGAAAACATCCTGCCTTCTGGGTACTACGACCACAGTCTCCTTGCGTCTCGCGCAGACCAGCAGGTGTTGCGCCAGTATGTCGTTGATGTGCTACCCAAACTGTCGCAACACCTAGACGACCTCAGCATCGAACTCGAAGCGCTCACCTTCCAGTGGTTCCTCAGCGTCTTTACCGACTGCCTTTGCGCCGAGGCTTTGTTCCGAGTCTGGGATGTGGTGCTTTGCATGAACGACGGGAGCACATTCCTGTTCCAGGTGGCGTTGGCCCTGCTCAAGCTCAACGAGACGCAGCTTCTGCAGTGCGATACGCCGGCGAGCGTGTATACTTACATCAACCGCCAGATGACGAACCACGCCATCAGTATCGACAACATGATCAAGGCTTCTGACGCTCTGAGAAAGCTGGTGAAGCGCGAGGATGTGGAGGCGCGTCGCGACAAGGCGATCCAGGCGGAGAAAGATGTTGTGAGGCAGAGAAACGAGATGAACGCGGCTAAGAAGGCGAACAAGGCGAACGGGAATGGTAACGGCGTCGGCACTGGACAAGAGGAGAACGGGGCAGCGGAGCCGGGCTTGGATGTCCGCGAGCCCAGGCCGATTGAGCAAGACGTGCAGACGTGAGAGATGGAGAGCAGCGGTGATGCATTTCAGGCGTTTGAATGGACGTCCATGATACCCCCTCTGTCCGGTTGGGAAGACACACAAAATAGCGTCTCTTTTTTTTGACAACACAATACACGATCTCTTGAGCATTGAAAGTTGGACACGAATGATGTGCTATGATGAATGCGTTTAGATTGCATGCGTTATTCGTGGCTATCGTACCCGACTTCTGTAATCATCTGACCAGATACTTCCAAATCTAGTACTCGTCTCCTACAACTTGGCCTTGCCAGCCTTCCACTCCTGCACAAACCTCTTCCCCGCCGCAACTCTCTCCTTCTCCAGCTCCTCCCTCTGATCCCAGATCTTCTCCTCGCTCTCATAGTTCTCTTTGCTGAGCACGTACGCGCTCTCCTTCCACATCTCCATCTTGAGCACGGCATACACCCCGCTCTTGCCCCTCTCCGTCAACTTCCGCTCCGCAATCAGCTTCAGCGCCTCGTCCAGCCCGCCGAGCGCATCGACGAGGCCGGCCTCGAGGGCCGCGGGGCCGGGAAAGCGCTTCGCCTCGAGGACGATGTCCTGGTAGATCTTGGGGGATGCGCATTTGATACGGAAGATGGCGGACATGGGGGGCTTCAACGGCGCGCCGAACTCGAGCTCGTTCATGCAGAGGAAGCCCTTTTGCGGGTTCATGACGCGGTAGTCGTGGTGCATGGCCGTCATGAAGCCGCCCGCGAAGGCGTGGCCGGGTATGAGGGCGACGGTGGGCATCGGGTAGGTCAGCAGGCGTTTGAAGAGGGCGTACAGGGTGTCGGGGAAGAAGCGCGGGGTCGCGAAGGCGTGTTCGAGGTCGAGGCCGTTGGAGTAGAATTTCGCGATGGCGGAGGTCGTGACGAGGACGCCGGGCGGGTGGGCGAACTCGATGATGTCGAGGGCGGCGAGGAGGGCTTTGCAGAAGGGGGTTGTGAGGCGGTTGTCGGGGGGCGAGGACCAGGTTAGGAGGTAGACTTGGGGTGCTGGGGTTGTGCAGACTATGGCGCCGCCTTGGTGGGAGTCGAGTTTGGGGATGGGGATTGTGAAGAGGGGGGTTTGGGAGGCCATCTTGTGTGGGTGGGTGGTGATGTTGATGAGGGTGTTGGTGAGATGAGATGGGATTGAGGTTTGGTTATGTTGTTTTGACACACGGATGCTTGGGGACAGATCGAACAGGAGATGACCAGAAAGAACCCCCAAAACTTGTATGTGGATTGTATACAAGTAATTTAGTCTTGATGATGAAGCTATGATATGAGAATGGACGAGGGCTAAGATAAGTTGGAGGTGACAAAGGCTTGAAGTTGAAGGGATCGACGGAAGGTCCAAGTAAGCGCTGCTGACCTCGGTTCGGCAAAAGGCACTAAGGAAAAGCACACCTCAGATTGCATACATGATTAGAAAATCAAACGTGCGGCGCGCAGTTTGGCTGACACCCTTCCCCGAATCCCCAAATCTACCTACCTTGCCTCAAGGTACCGTATGGCAAGCTGGCTGTTCTTCCGACGCACAAGTGTCAGTCATCCAATCACATAGCTTGTCATCTTGACCAGTTCCCAGTTCTTGGGATGGATGGAATCCTTTTTCCGGGCTACGTGCTAAAGTGCCCTCGTGTTCATGGGGGAACTTACGAGGCTAAGTACCCCGAAAGGTTAATGGGCTTTCACATGTGAAGAAAGAGCGGCCCCAAATGGAGGACCGCCAAGCTCCTGCGGCTTCTGATGCACCCCAGAATCGTCCTGGCCATCCACAATTCGCTTACCTTAGCTAAGTGGATCCCGCCAGTGCCTCCTTGTCCCCCCTGCAGAGCTGTTCCTTACGTAAGGCAGCATGCCACTTTGCGGTAGCCAATCAACACCTGCCATTGACAGAGCTACCCCAATTCCAACTGCCCTGCTGGCCGCTGTCGCGTCGTAACTTCCACTGAGTGGTCCCCGCTGGCTCCAGTGTCAGGTCAGGCCGCCCACGTCTCACAAGTCGCACCTCTGTCCTTTTGCAGGAAAGAAAGCCAGAGACAATAAAACAGATTGGGACTCGCTTCTCCCCCCTTCAGCACACCCCGAATATACTTGCCACAGACGAATCACGGCCATGGCGGAGAAAGATGACGATCAGAGGACCGTCGTCTTCTTTCACCCCGACCTTGGCATCGGTGGTGCTGAGCGTCTCGTTGTCGATGCCGCTGTCGGCTTGCAGAATCGAGGCCACAAGGTGGTCATCTTCACCAGCCATTGCGACAAGAGCCACTGCTTTGAAGAAGCTCGAGATGGTATGCCTGTTTCTTTTACCCATGCCTCTCGCATATGAATGAGCATACCCTAACTTATTTCTCCACCAGGAACCCTCGACGTCCGCGTCCGCGGCAACTGGATCGTCCCTCCCTCCATCCTCGGCCGCCTCACGATCCTCTGCGCCATCCTGCGTCAGCTCCACCTCCTCGTCCAGATCTACGCCACCCGCGAACTCCAGTCCCTGAACCCAGACACCTTCTTCGTCGACCAGCTCAGCGCGGGCCTGCCGCTGCTGCAGTACCTCGCCCCCAAGGCGCCCATCCTCTTCTACTGCCACTTCCCCGACATGTACCTCGCCCTCGGCCGCGAAAAGTGGTGGAAGCGCCTCTACCGCGTGCCCTTTGACTGGGTCGAGGAGTGGAGCATGGGCTTCGCCGACGAGATTGCCGTCAACTCGGGCTTCACCAAGGGCATGGCCACGGGCGCGTGGCCGAAGCTCGCCAAGCGCAAGAACTTCAAGGTCGTGTACCCCTGCGTCGACATCGCGCCCAAGAAGGAGAGCGAGAAGAATGCGATTGGCAACGGCAACAAGGAAGAGGAGGCCATTTGGACGGACAGGAACATTATTCTGAGCATCAACCGCTTCGAGAGGAAGAAGGACATCGCGCTCGCCGTCAAGGCTTTCGCGGCGCTGCCTGCGGACAAGAGAAAGGGCGTCCGGCTGGTCCTCGCGGGCGGATACGACCCGCGCAGCATCGAGAACTGCCAGTACCACAAGGAGCTCGAGAAGCTTGCCGCGTCGCTCGGCTTGGAGACGTTCACGGCCAAGAACATCATCACCGCCTTGTCTGCGCCTGAGCACATCCCGGTGCTGTTCCTCCTCTCCATCCCGTCGAGCTTGAAAGACTCGCTCCTCCGATCGGCCAAGCTACTCGTCTACACGCCCTCCAACGAGCATTTCGGCATCGTGCCCCTCGAGGCCATGTTGGCGGGCGTGCCCGTCCTCGCGGCAAACACGGGTGGGCCCAAGGAGACGGTCATGGACGGCGTGACGGGCTGGCTGCGGGCGCCGGACGAGGTGCTGGAGTGGACTGTGGTCATGGACAAGGTGCTCAACAGCCTCGGCCGGGGCGATTTGGAAAAGATGGGCAAGGCCGGCGTGCAGAGGGTGCGTACGGGTTTCGGGCAGGAGAAGATGGCGGAGCGGATTGAAAGGTTGCAGGACGAGATGTTGGCGGAGCCCAAGATGCCGCCCCTGTTGAACGCCGTGCTCAACTTTTTGGGCATTGTCGTGTTTTTCGGGTTGGGACTGGTCACCTCGCAGATGTTTGTCAATGCGAAGCAGAGGAGAGCTTGAGGGACGAAGCAGGCCCGATGAGGAATTATGTTTGTTGGTCTTGTTGTAGAAAGGGAACTTGGCTGTACGATACTCTAGTTGTCTGTCGAATACTGATAGATTTGTTTTCCTGTCAAAAAACAATACCCCTTCGAATCTGCTTCCATCTTCTCATTCATTTGCGCTAAAGTAAAGTCTTCAAGTAAGGTACTCAACTTGATCTTCCCCACATGGTATGCGTGAGCTCAGAATGGATGCTAGACACCTTGACTTGACCCCCACGTAGCGGGGTAAACACAGATGGCACACACCGTAGCGTAACTCCCTCTCCGAACCTCCGTTCCGTCACTTGAGCCGGATGTCTCACCTCACTTCCACATATACTCGGTACCTCACTGCGCCGACTTCATTCCCGCACCCCCTCACAAATGTCACCCGACACAACGGACCCAGACCCGGCCATGAACAGCCGCAGAGCCCTCGTCGACTTCTTCGCCCGGAGCCTGACGGCGTTCCAATCCTCAAAGGATGCGTTCCGCGTCGTCTGCACGCTTCCTCCCCGAGGAGAAACTGCCGCAGAGGCCAGCGGCGAGTTCAGCACATCGACGCCGGCGCCGGCGCCGCGGAGGCCGAACCGGGACGACGCGAAGGCGAGGCCGGTGGAGAGCAGCCTCGTCGTGCTGGATTCCTCGTTTAACCCGCCTACGCTTGCGCATCTACGCATGGCGGCGTCTGCGGTGAGAGATTTGCGGAAGGGGAGGGGTACGACCGCGACGAGGAGGGGCGGCGGAGCTGGAGATTCGTCGTCGGGTGCGGGTGGGGAGGTGGGTCGGAGGAGGGCTGTGAGGGTGCTGCTCCTGCTTGCTGTGAATAACGCGGACAAGAAGCCTAAGCCTGCGGCGTTTGGGGTTCGGTTGGGGATGATGTATGCGTTTGCTGGGGATTTGAGGGATGAGGTGCGGCGGAGGGGGGTAGATGGGGTCGAGGAGGAGCAGCGGCAGCAGGAGGAGGAGGAGGATGTCGAGGTCGACTTGGGGTTGACGACGATGCCGTATTTCCACGATAAGAGTCAGGCTATTTCGGACACGAGGTTTTATGCGCGAGGGGACGGGGGAGGGGAGCCGGAGCAGGTGTATTTGGCGGGATATGATACTCTTATCCGGATCTTTAACCCAAAGTACTATCAAGCTTCTTCTTCTTCTTCGTCACCGGGAGGGACAGCAGTGGAGGAGGCAGAGGCACCGATTCGAAGGGCGCTGGATCCGTTTCTGGGCAGGTCTAGGTTGCGCATCACGATGAGGACGGATGATGAGTGGGGTGGTGAGGGGGAGCAGGTTGCGTACCTCAAGAGTTTGAGGGATGGTGGGCTGGAGGATGTTGGTGGACGGCGGGCGTGGGCGGAGAGGGTTGAGATGGTTAGGGGGAGGGATGAGGGGGAGGAGGTTGTTAGTAGTACCAAGGTGCGTGAGGCTGCTTCCGCGAGGGATGAGGAGATGTTGGGACGGTTGGTTAGTGCGAGGGTGAAGGGATGGGTGCTCGGCGAGGGGTTGTATCGTGAGTGAGTGCGGTGGTGGAGTTTGATGTCAGGGGGATGTTGACTTTCTGAGATCAGGAAGCGGGTGATGAGGGCTTCGTGTGCTGCTTCGTCTACGTAGGCCTCGGGGCAGATTCTGCTGCACGCTAACATGATCGAGGATATGAGGCAAGTTCGCAGAGACGTCGTTGATATTGGCGAATGGGCACATGGACTCATCGTCCTGCTGATGGACATCATCGAGCCAGGGAACCTCGTTGGCTTCAAACGGCAGCAGGCCATCTAGAAGTGCAGCTTCTCGAAATAGCTATTATCACGGCCGTTGAATGCCTCGATCAATCTGTTCAACCTATATCTTTCTCGACTTGGCAGGTGGGCGTGTTTCCTTCCTTCAAATCCACACGGGCGGCCGGTCACGAAACATCTCGACACTCAGCCATGTGCCACAGCTTCAGAGATGAACCCGGGGTTTCACGATGTGGTTTATCTACCTTGGGACTGAGCTGTTGATGCAACAGTGCATACCATACCTCAAAGGGGCTCCCATCGGCATCCGGACGATCTCACTGACCCATTCCCCCTTTGATTGACGCTACTCTCAACCGCCAGACAGCTTCTCGCAGCATCAAATCGGTATATGAAGAAGAGAAGTTTTCCGACGTCTTGATGCCTGATTCACCAACACCTTCCCAGGCATCTTTCCCGTTCCGAACCCGCTCTTTCCATCTTCACGATGCAGATTTTTTACATCTCCAGCCTAGGTACGTACTCATCCACCTATCAATTTTCACCAACCCGAATTCTCATTGGCCCAAAGCCTTGCAGCACTGACTGATGCCGTCCCCCACCAAAGACCCACTCCCGCACCTCTCCAACCTCTATAAAACGTCGCCTCCCGACCGCAGCTCTTAGAATTTTCTCTTCTTCTTTTTTCTTCATGTCGACAATACTTCAGAGAATCATTTCT